TGTTTCAAACCGCAACAATATCAAACACCCAAAAAAGGAATTCCTTATTTGCGATTGTGAACCATGTCATTTTGTTTTTGCCTTAAGCAAGGTTAATTTGGTTCTTATAAATCAATGAATATGTCAGTATGAGAATTTCAGTTTTATGTAAACATATCCCCTATATATATATAAATATGGGGCATTCGGGTTTTATGCCAGCAGCGGGACACTTGAGTGATTTTGTGCACAAAATAAACCCTATTCTCTTAACTTCATAACATTACGATTGAACCACTGATGAGACATAAACCACTTTAGATTTTTTTTAGGTCTTGCTGTCTGGAAAGTCAGAGAATTCTTAGAATTCATCAAAAGTATATTTATTTGTGTTCTGAATATGAACTAAGGTCTCAAGGGTGATTTAACTTTTGGTTAACTGCCCTTTTAATAAATATTATTCTTTTACACTTTCTTGAATTATGTGAACATAAACTACCATGAACAAAAGTACTGTTATTTTGGCTGAACCTTGCACCATCAGTGACAAAGATTGAGCAATGGTTGATAAACAAAAGTGTAACTGCAGAAAATAATCCAAAATGATGACTTGAATTACACGCACAAAGATATCAATACAATAAATATCAGAGCCAACTGACACTGAAACAATAATTCACCCAACATTAAAATGTGTTTACAATATGCTCATAAGGACTAACAAAATGAAAGTTAATGGCAAGTTAATTGCAAGTAAAAAAAGACAAAAAAAAAAAAAGAAAAAAGAAAGAGAAATATATAGCCAATAGGCAAAACAAAATGTATACCCATTGGTTATTCATCTTGACAATTAGGTCTTATGAAGGGAAATTTTTCTGTTTAAGAGATCTGAGCATTATTTACAATATTATTATTCATTCTTTTTTCTCCTCTTAATCCCTTTATTTATCAGGGCTTGCCAAAGCAGAATGAACTGCCAACTAATCCACTATATGTCTTTTCACAACAGATGCCCATCAATGGGAAACACCCATACACACTCATCCACTCACATACACTACAGACAATTCAGCTTACCCAATTCATGTATAGCGCATGTCTTTGGACTGGAGGAGACCCATGCAAGCTCAAGGGAACATGCAAACTCCACACAGAAATGCCAACTGACCCAGCTGAGGCTCGAATCAGCAACCTTCTTGCAGTGAAGCAACAGCGCTTCCTTCTGCGTCACAGTCACCACGCCAATGCAATATTATTATTTACAAACAAATTATCTATTTCGGCTGCAATTTTCTACCTTTTAACCCTTATGTACTGTTGGGGGTGTTTTCATCCCCTCTGGGGTGATTTTGAGTCTTAATTCAGCTTCTGTAGCTGAATGATTTTTTGGTGACAAATTTTATTTTGACATATTTTGAGAAAATGCTTTAAAATGTTTATATATTTTTTATTTTGTCTTGGTACTACAATATATGTATATATATATATATATGTATATATATATATATATATATATATATATATATATATATATATATATATATATATATATATATATTTTATTTTTTTTTTTTTTTTTTTTTTGAGAACAACTCTTTTGACCTGAAGTCCATTGAAACTCTAGACTAATGTACTACCCTTCTGTTATGTTAGGGATTAAAACATCCAGTGAATTAAACTGCTGTAAAAATGCATCAGATAATTATTTTTTTGCCTAAATCTGTTAATCAACCTCAGTCTTGATCAAAACTACTAAATTGCTTATAGAAAATTACAGGATTTTAACATTTTGATGGCCAAGTACACAAATGATGTCACTGATTTGGTGAAAAAAACAAAGTGACAAATTTTTAATATGAAAAGTAATTGTGGACTGGAGTTTTTACCTTTTATCAACTTCTTGGCCCTGTGAATAGTTTGTAACGACATTAGCTTTGATGCATTGTTTTTGATTCATTTTCTTTTTTTCTCCCTAATTTACTGTTGGTGCTGTTTTTTCCCCATTGACTTCAATTATAACTACATTTTTTGGGTAACACTTTACAATAAGGTTAATTAGTTAATGCATTTACTAACATGAACTAATCATGAACAACACTTGTACAGCATTTATTAATCATAATTGAACATTTACTAATGCATTATTAACATCCACGTCCATGCTTGTTAACATTAGTTAATGCACCATGAGTTAACATGAACTAACAATGAACTACTGTATTTTTTATTAACTAACGTTAACTAACATGAACAAATACAGTAGTAAATGTATTGTTCATTGTTTGTTCATGTTAGTAAATGCATTAATTAGCAGTAACTAATGAACCTTATTGTAAAGTGTGACCATTTTTTGATTACAAAACCATGACACCATATGATGATGTATTTTTGATTGTTGGTGGTTTTCCGTTCAAATTTTTTTCCTGAGTCATTTTTACTGTTGATCACCAGTTGGCACCATTACCTCTTTAGATAGGCCTGTGCAAAAAAATCGTAGTTTATGGATTTTATATGGAGTATAACAGCAAATTAAAGTGTGTGAATGTGTGTAAGAGTGGCCTTTGCGCACTTACCTGTATGAGAAAGTCAAAATGTGCATCTCAGCTCTCAAAACTACATGGAGTAAACAAAAACAAAGACTGTTTATTTATGTACCATCAAATGTGGTTATAATGGAAGTCAATCAGGCAAAAAAAAAAAAAAAAAAAAAAAAATGCCACCAACAGTAAATTAGGGAGAAACAAATGAAAATCTAACAATGAATCAAATCCAATGTTGCTACTAATCATTCACTTGTCCAAGACTGTGATTAAAGGTTAAAAATTCCAGTTCACAATTACTTCTCATATTGAAAACATGTAATTTTGTGTTTTTTTCCACTAAATCATTAACATAATTTATGAATTTGGCTATTAAAGAGTTAAAATTCGGATAATTTTCTAAGGAATTTAGTAGTTTTAATCAGGACTGGGGTTAATTAACAGATTTACGCAAAAAGAAAACTAAAATCTGATGCATTTTTACAGCAGCTTAATTCAGTGGATGTTTTCTAAATCACCCACGGGGTGGCAGCAGTTTTAAGTGAAACCTTTCAACAATCTGTTCTATTTTGTCAGTCAAATGTGCTACTGTAAATGAAGAAAGTTTTTTAAATCTAGACATGCCTACAAAACGCTCTGCAACAAAGAACTGAAGACTAATATACAAAACTGTACCTTTAAGCTTAGATCAACACATTCTCATTTATTAAAATATTTATTTGACGATGCATTCAAATAAAGTTCATCCTTATAATAAATTCGTAAATGTGAATTTGACAAATCTGCTCTGTTGTTTCTTGACACTGCGATATAAGACTTTCATTGCATAAGCCGCTGGCCAGAGGAGGGTACAGATGTGGATCTGTGTTTTGGATCAGCGCCGGGGAACTGACAGTGAGATCTGGCAGTAATAAAGGCCAGGAGCATCTGGCCAGCTGTGAATGGCTGAATGGTTGAGATGTGAGGTGTGTCCTGTCCCGTGGGACCTGCGAGAGGGACGCCGGATTGGATGAGCTGTTTTGGGAGGGCGGGACGTGAGGGAGGCCTGACCTGAGCTGGAGGAGGACGAGGAGGAGAGTCGAACAAGCAGACAAAGGAGGAGGCCGATTACTCTCGTTCCCACCACACCCTGCCAGACCGAGTGCCCGACAAAAACACACATTTCACAGTCGAAGAGTCACATTTATGTTGAAAAGAGGTAAGGTCGTAAAAAGTAGGCTATACCTGCCGCAAGGGTTGAGTGTATTTTTAGTTGGTCATGTTGGGAGACCCAGTTTAGGAGGACGATATAAGTTTGTTCATATAATCAGTGTCTTTTGAACGGATTTTAATGGCGTTCCCTGGAACAAGTTAAAGGAAAAGCTTCATAAACAACTTTACTCATTCAACTAACCATTTTTAGGATTTCAACTTCCACCCTTCAAGCGTGAGGGGAATTTCAATCTTTAATATTTGGTCTCTCTGTCACAGACAAACAATTAGGCTAAAGAAACAATGTAATTTTCGCTCCTGAAGGGGATGTATTCTCAATAAAGCCGTTGTTTAATGACACTGTGAATGTGGATTTATAGAAGTTGTCATTTTTATTACATCATACAGGACTGCAGAAATCATGTTCATGGATGAGCTAAAATATTCAAAACGTATTACAGTCTTAAGCGAATCGATCGTGGGACGGCAAGAAAGCAGCAGAGCTTTTATTATGTCACTTTCTTCATGGTTTGATTGTGTGGGAAAGTCACTTTTTTAGATCAGGTTAATATATTTTAGGGTTCTGCAATAATGCTGCACTGTACAGTATATTAATACACATGAAATATTTTTGGTGTTTCCTTGTGTTATATAAGTACAAATGTAAATGAAGTGTGTATCATTAGCATCGCCACAGCCATTAGATTGGATTAAGTCTCTGGTTCGAACATTCTTCAAAACATACGTAAGCAAATATGGCCCCTTTTCACAAGTTATGACACGTTTAATGGTCATCAGTATCTTAAATCCCTGAAAGTTTTCAATATTTAGATTTTTAAAAAAACATTTCTATGCATCATTCATGTATGTAGTATATCATCTTTGCTTCAAATGACAAAAAATGAATTACCGCTTGTGTGAGACATTTCTAATGCAGCCTCTATGGGACAGGACAGTAAATTTGATGTTCTCTCCTGTGGCTGCTGTCATCAGTCTTACACATTTTTTTTTCCTGAACGTCTTTATAACATCACAGTGGAGTTTTTCTTTTATTATTTGAGCAAATAAGTTTGTAAAAGAAGTATTTGTTGTATTCTTCCATTTACTGTGCTCTACATTTTTTCCAACTATGATGCCTTCCACTTCAGAGAAACAAAAATGTTAAAAGGGTCTAAATAAAACTGTTTTAGTGTTTTTTTTATATATATATTTTGATAGACAAATCTTACATATACTGCATGGTTTTTTTTCCAGATGAAGAAATTGCACAAAGTATGAGATATTCCAGGAAAAGGGTAGAGAAAGTGTCGTTTAATTATATAAAAATACTTCCCAAAGTAAAGTGAGAAATATAAAATTATTCACAGACTCTTAAAAGTGGTTCTCCAAAGTGTTTGACACAGATGTCCAAAACAAAACAAATCTGTAGACATGCACTTGAAAAGATTCAAAGATTTCTCCTATAATAGAGTTATGAAAACAATGGCTTTCCCTCATTTAAAACGTTCTATTACTAAAATACTATGAAACAAATCCCAATCAGTTGCTGCTGGATGGGCATCCGTTAAACACGTAAAACATGTGCTGGATAGGTTAGTGGTACATTCTGCTATGGTGACTGACCCCTTAATAATAAAGGGACTAAGCTGAAAAAAAAATGAATGAGTGAAAATCCCAATCATATTCTTATGACAACATTGATAGAGGAATTAAATTTTTCTAAAATACAATGCAGTTCTGTGTTAAAGGGAATGGCAATGAACGTTGCGGCCTTCATTTTCTTCCATCTTATTTTTTTATTTAGAAAACGTGTATATCATTAACTTAATATAAATAAAATGATTCTCAATGAGCTGCCTGTTGAAAATGGACAACTTTCATTTGGCTTTGTTTCGTCATGCATTCAGGTTGACTCATTTATGCTTAATTCCTCATAATAAATTTAAAAAGTCAGTCATTATGACTTGTGTCAAAATAGAAACGGTGTTACAGTATGCTAAACAGTCAGCTAAACAGCTCTTGTCAATGAACTAGCAATGAAGTCTACATTAAAACATGGATTAAATAATTCTTACAGTGCATAAAGTGGAAAGTCAGATCAGTATGTAGTTCTGTGTTGTGTTTTGTACTCTTGTTTATGAACACATTGCGTCTGAATGTTTCAAATTGACCTCTTCATTTCACATTTATGTGTATTCACAGAATGAAGACAACAAAACATATTTATGCTATAGAGATGTGATTTTCATACTAATACTGTAAATTGTCAGAAATGCATCTTGTTTGTAAGTGAATGATAAATACACATTTCTAACCACCAATTATTTTAGTAAAGTACAGTAACATTTTCCAGTCAGTGGACACTCCCAAAACAAATGCTCATCCTCCATTCTGGATGATACCAGGTGCAAGTTCATTTCATTCCTGGGTGGGACATCATCCAGAATGAAAAAGAAATAAAGCTGATGAATAAACAGGAACAAAATCTTCTTGCATCTGGAGTCTGCTTCATGACCTCCTGTCTCCATTTTTAGTCTTGAAAACAACTAGGACCACCATAACAGGGATTAGGCATATGGGGGTCATGACAAGGGCAAGGATGATGCTGGGAGGGGGATCCCTCAGTGCCTCTGTGGGACAATCGTGAAAATAGGTTGCATGGATATCCACAAATTTCTGTTCTACAAATCGATTTGGCCAGGGAACCAGCAGACAGTCAGCAACAGTCTCAGTGCACATTGTGAAATTGTTGTATGCACTGTCAGAGATAGAGAGACAGATGAAGAAAGAGTGTCACCATCTACAGCATTACATGTAGACTATTATATGACATTCAATGAATGAAACCTTTTAGCTTACCTTTTTACTTTCTCCAGTGAACACCAGTCTGTACTGTTCATGGAGTCCATAGCCAAAACAAAATGATAATTACACCAGTGATTCACCAGTATTTCATAGCATTCTTGAGCTGTTATATTCACACAAATTGAGCAGTATACTTCACAGCCGCCCTTGTTAGCGCAGCCTGTAATGTAAATGAAATCAATATTAACAGATATAAGTCAATGTGAATTACCTCAGTGGATTTTTCAAGTTTACATAATTATCTCTTTTGAAATAGCATGATGACAACTTATGCACATACCAATTGTTCCTCCATTTCCATGAACAGGATCTAAAAAATATAAGTAAAAAATGCTATATAATGTGTCCAAACATATTGCAATTAAATTATACCTACTAATATTTTGGTTATTAAAATTAATAATAACAAATCTAGAAAAAAACTTCCCTAAATGACTGCATATGTGATCATTTACAGTAGACTGATCATCTCATTACAATGTAAGTCAATAAATATTGTCCGACATAATCTTTCCTCCTGAAAACAGACATTTGTCACGCACCGCATTGTCTAACACGGGTTTAATTGAAAGCTTAAGTTGTCGACGCACACACAACTTACCACAGAGAAAAGACAGAAAGACGCCAAAGAAGCTGAACGATACCCTCATATCAGAGCAAACGAGCGCTGGCGAGCTGCTCTCACGCCGCCGCTGAATGTGCCTGAACTTTTACACCGAGCAGCGCGAGGCATAACAGGAAACGCGACGGGTGGAAGCGGGTGATGCGCCGTCACCACATGCGGAACCGCGCTTACCAGATGTTCGGAAAGCTGCTCCCGAGAACGCTTTAATTTTCCCACGTAACAAAGCTCCGCCTCTTGCCGTCTCTCTCTCTCTCTCTCTCTCTCTCTCTCCCCCCTTACAGAAAAGTAAAATGCTTATTTACGAGTTTTCACAGACTTTTTAGAGGCGCCATAAAAATGATAATCGGTCACCAAAAGTTAAGCCGTCTAAAATTTAATTAATTCATTAATTTTCTTTTCGGCTTAGTTCCTTTATTAATTTATGGTTGCCACAGCGGAATGAACCGACAACTTATCCAGCATATGCATTTAAATAGCGGATACCCTTCCAGGTGCAACCCATCACTGGCAAACACCCATACACACTCATTCACACACTCTATCCTGAAGGAAACCCACTTGAACACAGGGAGATAACTCCACACAGAAATGCCAACTGAGCCAGTCAAGGCTGAAACCAGTGACCTTCTTGCTGTGAGGCGATCATGCTACCCACTGTGCCACCGTGACACCAGTGCTTGGTTATTATTTGCAATTATTTTTTGGTTTGCAAATTAAATTTTATTTCTCAAAACATAATTTTCCTTTTGAAGTTCTTTATTTTTTATAGCAACATTCATTTTTATTTCTCAAAAATAAATTTTTGCTTTGCGATTTTTGAAGATTTGCATTTATTAATATTATTTGCGTTTATGTGCAAAGAGAATGCTAAGAACTACGGTCGGCAGCTGATGCGTGTAACAGTCACATTTGGACAGCTTTGAAACAATAGTTTTAATCTATTTTTCTTGCTTTTGACGTTTTTGAACTAATACTGTTGTCCATCAGTGCCACCTCCTGGACTGATTATTTAAAAAATGCAATCTAATAGGATGGAAAACAACTGCTGCGAGTCATTTACCCTTAAGCAGGTCGCACACCAGAAGCGCCGCTCGGCGCCGCGACATGGCGCGTACATGACAGATTAAAGTATCACACACCAGACGCGCACATTCGAATGATATTTAACATGAAACTAATCAGATGGCGCTCTGTGGCGCGGCTGAAAAATGAACTGCGTCCTGAGCCGTCGCCGGGCGCCGCCGACAGCCGCCGACTTGCGGCGCCGGTGTGTGTATCCTGATAGAAACCTATGTTTAGAATTCTAAAATACATGGCGCTGCGTGGCGCTGCGCGGCGCGCCGCCGAGCGGCGCTTCTGGTGTGCGACCTGCTTTACTGTCAGACTGCATCGTTGTGCGGTTTAAATGGAGCCTCGCCATCGCTAAAGTGAACAGTTTCTGTCTTTTTTCAAATATATTACCAACCTAAACAAATTTAATTCACCAAAATTTGACACACACGTCCTGTCCCACTGACACATTGATTGATAGACTGGCACAAAGTGAAAATAAAGAGGCAATTTGAAATGACAAAAAAAAAACACATACAATAACGGTGAATACTACACACAAATTAACTAAATGAAGCATAAACAGCTTCCGATTAGAATCAACTTGCAAATCAGCAAGATGTGTGTGAGAGAGAGTGTGAAGTGAAGAGCCGCTGACCTAACAGCTGACAGGTCGGGAACACACACTCACACTGTATATCTGACAGCAGGCAGGTGAACTTGGAGAATGTTTTTCTCCCACGTTTGAACCACACCTGACAGATTATACCGGCTTTAACACACACCTTTCAAGGTTGTGTTTCACAAAAACACTCCGTAATCCATTCAAAATGCTATTAAAACCTATTTTCGGAGCGCAAATTACCTGTAGTAAACACTGTAAACGGAAGTTCTAAACATTCTACCTCAAGACGCTGGTCGCCATGTCGCCCTCCATGCAGCAGGCAAGAAAAAGGTCTATACAGTACGGAAGCATGCAGTTTCAGATGCAGCCTATCACTTGGCAGCATATCAATGCATTTAGACATGTAGAAGTGGTCTTGTTAAGCATCATATTGGAGAAGATGACAAGTGACTTTTAATGGTTTTTGGTGCCAGCTGGGCTGCCCTGAGTATTTCAAAAACTGATGATCTACTGGTATTTTCAGAAAATATCAATAACAGATAAATTAATCCAGTGAATGGCAAATCTGTGGGTGAAAATGCCTTTTTGATGCCAAAGGAAGACTCACCAGACTGGTTCAGCTGATAGAAAGGCAAGAGTAACTTAAATAACTACTGAACTAACAGGACTTCAAACCTTGAAGCAGATGAGCTACAGCAGCAGAAACTGAGGAAAACCAGTGAAGTGGATTCATGTGAGAAGTCAGATCAACACATATCACATCTGTTATGATTTTTGTTGTTGAATCACCTTTCAAAACCTAATCAGAATCATTCTCTCTGGATGAGAGTTGTTCGCTGTTTGCTGGAAAGTTTTGTATAGTTGATTAAGTAGCAGTGTTGTGGTGAGTAGTAAAGAAAACACTCGGCTTATTTTAGTAGCACACAAAGGATCCATGTTTAGAATTGTATCACAAAAGTCCTTTGATGTTTTTGTTTAATCAGATTCGTGTCTTTATAAGAACTGGTTCTCAGTTCTAGTCTTGACTCTTGATATTGTAAAGCGCTGTTGTGTTTAAGAGATTGCTGTTTCCCTGAGGCGCGGATCTTTTTGAGCTGAGCACACCCAGACCAGATGCACATCTGCAAACGGGTCTCCCCCTTTAAAAAAACACTCTCATTTCTCTCAGGTTGATTCCTCGTCGGCTCAATGGTTCTGATTTATTTGCGTTTTTCGCATCTGTTTCCAAACAGGAAACATAAGTGAACATTTAGGGGCAGAGCGAAGCTGCTTGGTGGAACGGACACGTTTAAGAATAACTGGGTCATATTAAACAGATCGAGTTCGGGAAACGATATAATCAGAGTTTGCCATCTGTGCTAAAGGGCCGTACTTTTGGCCCAGCTGTGATTGAAACAAACTCTAAGCTCACTCACTTCAAAGAAAAAGAGAAAGAAGTGAACCAAGAGCTGAGGGTGGGCTGGACGACTTCACGTAACACTTCGAGGCTTGTTGACCATGTGAAATTGTCTTCAATCAGACTACCAATGGAGTAAGTCAACTGGAAAGCTTTCACGCTTTCATCTTACACGCATTTTTATCAACCTTACTTCCAAATTAAATGATTTTTAAAGTCAGATGAGTTTCAGGACTTTGGAGATTCCGCCTGGCTTCCTACAATAATCAAGTCAAGTCATGTTTATTTCTTTAGACAATGGGAATTTGCTGTCACAGCGCAGTACATTTGGATTTGATCTCATTGATCTCTATAATATCTTGAATGTATGATATATTCACTGATTTGCAAGAAATGGTAAGCACTCATTAGTAGGTTCCACTTTAGCGCTGGAGATTGAAAATTAAAAAATTAATATTTTCAGCCTGTCAGACAAACAAAGAGCCTTTTATAAAAATATGTAGGCATGTAGTTCATTTTATTTGTGTGTAAGATGATTTTTAAAAAGTAATACCATAAAACGGTGATCTGTTTCTGTGGTGATTTCATTGGTTTACATTGGTTTACACGTGCGCTGAGTGTGTCATTGACATGGGAGAACGCAACTCGCCATGATCTAGATTACCATTCTCTATACAATGTACACTACCTAACAAAAGTCTTGTCATCAATCCTAGTTGTAAAAGCAACAAATAATAACTTGACTTCTAGTTGAACATTTGGAAAAGTGGCAGAAGGTTGATTTTTTTCAATGAATCATTTGTTGAACTGCATCCTAATCATCACAAATACTGCAGAAGACCTGTTGTAACCTGCATGGACCCAAGATTCTCACTGAAATCAGTCAAGTTTGGTGAAGGAAAAATCATTGTTTGGGGTTACATTCAGTATGGGGGCATGTGAGAGATCTGCAGAGTGGATGGCAACATCAACAGGCTGAGGTATCAAGACATTTGTGCTGTCCATTACATTACAAACCATAGGAGTGGGCAAACTAGTCTTGAGCGGAATAGCGCTCCTTCTCATACTTCAGCCTCCACATCAAAGTTCCTGAAAGCAAAGAAGGTCAAGGTGCTCTAGGATTGGCCAGTCCAGTCACCAGACATAAACATTATTGAGTATGTGTGGGTTAAGCTGAAGGAGGAGGCATTGAAGATGAATTTAAAGAATTTTGAGGAGCTCTGTAGTCCTGCATGAACGCTTTCTATGCCATTCTAGATGACTTTATTAAAAGGTTATTACTCTTAGTCATTGCAGAGATGTAAGAATGCAGTCCTCCAAGCTCATACAGTCATACATAATATTCATTCTTTTTCCACTGCACCATAACTTTATATTTTATTCTGGACATTATTTCTGTTAAGTTCTGTTAAATTCTGTTTAAACTTTTGTCTCAGCAAATCAGACCTTATTGTCCTAATTAAATAATTAAAAAATCAAGGCATGATCATATTTTATTTTGGTAAAATAAGCGTAACTTTGCTTTCCACATTTACCACTTCTGACACCAAATGATCAACTAGATGTCAAGTTATGATTTGTTGTTCTTAAAACATGTATAGGTGACAAGACTTTTGTCAAGTAGTGTAAATAAGAAAAAGCAAACATATTAAAACAGCATAAATGTTTTATGTGAGAATGTTTTGCAGATAGTATGCTGTTCATGTTATTAAACTTTAAACGTGCATGGCACTAACAGAACAATACAGACATTTTTTTCCCTAGCAAGCCAATCTGAATCTCTCTGTGCTCATGTGTTTATTCAAATCTCATTCTGCAGCAGTTGGTTTACTCTTTGTCCCAGAGAATATAAATATTAAAAAAGTCTGATTTGAAGCGTCAACAAAAGCTCTCGTTACAATGTAGAATTGCAACACAGTATTGTTTTCAGCACTTATCAACTTTGTCGCTTCCTAACTTTTACTCTGCTTTTCTTTGTTAATGCGTGTAACTCCATACTGCAGCTCGATGAGCACTGATTGAACCCATACACTGAAAACAGTCTCACAGTAGGGTTTGTTTGGACAAACATACTCAAAAAACAAAATAATATCTGATAAGTCTTTCATATTTGTGCAGCTGTGTTGCTCACCTGCTCTGGTGTATGCTGTGGTTTGCACTGTAG